GGGACAAATACTAGAAATAACACTCTACAATGAAAACAACTGTGTTTAAGATGATGAATTAAAGGGTTTTCTATCCTGTGGGGAAAATAAAATAAATTGGATAAAATTCTCTGATGTTTTTAAGATAATCAGGCAATCCTGGACAATTGACAAGCATTTCCTCAGGAAAGAAAACTGGGCTTTCAAGTTCTCATGAGCTTCTTGATTAATTTTATTTCACAAATTCCTGTTTGCGCTGTGAAAGCACAATTTTGCCTCCTTAGAGAGAAAGTCCTAGAAGTCAGTCTCAGTATTTCTCATTAGATGCTGTATTAGTCTGGGTACTTTAGAGAAACAAATCCACAGAAACTCATGTATAAGAGAGAGTAAAGGTTATGGGCGCATCAAGAAAACATCCCAACCCAGTGCTTCCCAAGCTCACAAGTCCAACATTAACTCATTAACCCATATGTCCTACACCAATCCACAAAGTCCTCCTTCATGTCACAAAACAGACACAATGATGCTGACTGCAGGAGGAATTCCAAGTCAGTGAATGTGTAAACATCTCAGCATTGGCAGGGGTCTCCACACAGGTGCTCCAGCACCCAGGGCTGCATCGGGGTAGGTCCATGTGGCATCTCCTTGGGGATATCTTTCAGGAAGTGAGCCTTGCAAGCTGAAGCAGGAAACTGCTAAGACCGCTGCACCGTGGTGGGACCATCACAAAGCAAGAGACCTGAGAACTAGAAAGGTGAAGCTCCTGGAGCCATTTATCCTTTCGGCCTTCAATTAACCCCACATGTGTTTATCGGCCAGGTTGGCATAATAAACTAACTACCTCAGATGCCTTGGGAATAGGGAAATACACTTCACAATCATGGGTTCATAAATCACCTCTATAGTACAGAGAAGTACACCTGGCTGAACTACAAAAACTTAGGCATCAGAAACCAGTAGAAGCTAATTAGAAACAGAGCCACTAGCTGGAAATCTAGCCACAGTGTACAAATATCTGAATTGATATTCTAGAGATTGTGTCTAGAGATTTGTCAAGAGTAACAATACTTTTTTAATTCACTTAAAAGTTTCCTCTTGTGGTGTGTGTGTAAAACAGTGTATCTGCCATTTTAAATATACCGTAACGATCAGTATCCAAAAGTTACTAACCATCCTAAACAGAAACTCAGTGTCCCTTAAGCAATAACTCCCCATTTCACCTTTCCCTCTCTCCACAGTTAAAACAAAACTCTGTATCATGATGCTGATTCCTACTTATAACAGATGCCTTGTAGAACAGAGTAGAAATGCTTCATTTCCAAGGTCGTAACTCTTCATGGAAGCAGACTGCCACCTCTTTCTTTCTCCCATGGAGTTGCTGGTGGGTTTGAACCATGGACCTTTTTGTTAGCAGTCCTGGTCTTTAGCCATTGTGCTACCAAGGCTTGCTTCAAGGCATGGTGACACTAATAAATGTTCGTCTCTATACAGGTACCTATTCTAAAATTTTCATGTAAGTTATTTATTTTTATTGGACTTATTGTATTCAGCATATTTTCAAGTTTCATCCACGCCATTGCATGACTTAGAACTTCATTTGTGTTAAGGGGTGAATAATATTCTATAGTAGGGATATACCTATTTTTACATGTAGTCATCTGTTGATGAACACTTGATTTGTTCCACCTACTGGTTTCGATGAAAAATGCTTTAACAGACATTTGTGTGCAATGATCTGTTTGAGCCCCTACTTTCAATTCTCTGAGTATATATTTAGGAGTCATACGACTAAACTTTTTGAGGAATTGTTTTTCATAGTGGTCGTACCATTTTACACAGTGGATGAACATTTCAATTTCTTCACATCCTCACCAACACCTGCTATTTTCTGTGCTGCCAATTATAGTTGATGCTTCTGAGTCTGCAGTCTTATGTCATTGTAGTTTTGACTTGCATCTCCCTACTTCTAGATGAAAGGAGCTCTGGTAGCACTCTCTGGTAAGCCTTTGGTCACTAACCAAAAGATCAGCAGTTCAAACCGACCAGCCACTGAAAGGGTGAAAGATGAGGCTATCTGCTCTCATAAAGATTTATATCCTCAGAAACCCTTTCAAGGGCCTCTGACTCAGAATCGCATAGATGGCAGTACATTTTCTGTCTGGTGGCACTGTAAAGCATCCTGGAGGCACAGTGGGTTGTGCACTGAATTGCTGCTAGCTACAGGTCAACTGGCGGAACTCACTAGCTGATTTTCAGGACACAAAACAAAACAAAGCCTGAGGCTGCCTGCTCCCTTGAAGAATTAAGAGTCTCAGAAGTCTACATAGAGCCAATGTGAGTTGTGTGGGTTTGTTTTTTGTTTGGTTTTAATGAGTAATTCCGGAAACCTAGTGGCACAGCTGTGACATCCTCAGTTGCTAACTGAAAGGTAGGCATTTTGAACCCATCAGCTACTCTGGACAGGGGGAGGGGATGCGGTCATGTGCTCCGTGCACTCATGGAAGCTCTATGGAGCAGTTGTACGCCATACTACAGGGTCTACAAGTACCTATTCTAAAGTTGGGATTTAAACTTATGTTGATTATCTTTCATGTGTTAGTAACTATTTGTATTTTCTCGTTGCAGACATGGCCATTTAAAAATCATTTGTCTTTTTGTGATTGTTGTCTTGTAGGTATTCTTTAGCTATACAAGATATTAAACCTTTATCAGACAGTTACCAAATATTTTCTGCTACTATTTACATTGTCTCTTTACAACACCAAGGTGTACAGATGGCGTGTGACCTGTGGTGGCTTCTTCTATTGCCCACATGTAACAGAGCTGACTACGGCTATGATGGCCCTGATGGCAGGTCAGCAGTTAGAAAGCACCATCGACTTCACAGGACCAATCTGGTGATTGGTTCCCATAAAGATTAAAGTTGAGGGAATTTGATGGACTAGTTCTACTCTCGGTGATAGGAGGTTATAAATCAGAATGGATTGGGCAGCCCTTAGCAACAACCTCCAAGCACAAGGTTCTCACAGCTGGTCTAGCCTTTACACCTCATTTTTAAGATAGAGTTTCCACTCAGAAGTAATTTACATGAAGTTGGAAAATTAGCAACACAATGGGGAGAAATGTAACCATGGTAAATGTTGGTGTTCATGGTGAGTGAGGGGAATTGGTCTCTAAATCCTTTCCTTAAACTGAGAACTCTCCTCCATAAAAAATAATAATGATAATAATTAGCCAGAATCACTGAGCTAGAGGTGTTTCCAGATCAACTTAATGAGGCAACTTGGTCAGATCATCTGCAGCATGGTCAGGGTAACAATAGGAAAATGGGAAGAAATTTAAAAGACAAAAGCCTTATATGAACACTCTCCAAGTGGCAACTTTTCACACAAACAAGATTGATCTATGAAAGACCAATTGTCTATCCAGCTCCCCAAATCTATAAGGCCTCTGGAAAGCTGAATGCACAGCTTTGTTAAGAATATGGGTAGAACAAGGTGCTCACTGTTTTTATGAGTTAGCATGAACTCCATTTTCACCTGGTTTTATAGTTGTAATTTTAGTTTATTTCTTCATCTGTTCCACAGGAATGCGGAAGTGCTTATCTGTCATCTACAAAAGTTCCATTCCCCTTTATACAGATATGGTATCATAAGCTTCCAAATATTCCTATTTTATTGGTTATATAAACAATGTTCGTCATCTTTGTATTCACATTTCATGCTTAGGAGTTTTTTTGTTTCTGTTTTGTAACAAGGTTGTTGAAAAATATCAATGGTTGCTATTTCTTTACTCTTATCATGATCCATACATCCATCCATTGTGTCAAGCACATTTGTACATTTGTTGCCATCATCATTCTCAAAACATTTGCTTTCTACGTGAGCCCTTGGTATCAGCTTCTTATTCCCCGCTTCCCTGCTTCCCCCTCCCTCATGAACCCTTGATATTTTATAAATTATTATTTTGTCATATCTTACACTGTCCAATGTCTCCCTTCACCCACTTTTCTGTTGTCCATCCTCCAGGGAGGAGGCTATGTGTAGATCCTTGTAATCGGTTCCCCCTTTCTAACCACCTTCCTACCACCCTCCCAGTATCGCCACTCTCACCACTGGTCCTGAAGGGATCATCTGTCCTGGATTCCCTGTGTTTCCAGTTCCTATCTGTAATAGTGGTTGCTATTTCAACTGTGCTTTTTCAATTAGGTTTCTAAGTTATCTAAGATATGGCACTGATTAAACAGCTTGGATCCCACTGCCAAGTTTGAAGCCAAGGTCTAACAGAACAGAGATCTCTGTACTGCTCTTTTCCATTTGTCCTGGAAAGGTTCCCTTTATCCATGTACTTATCCATTAATTCAATAACTATTTGCAGGGTGTTTCCTTCATTACAAATTCTTAGAGTATGCCAAAGAGCAAACAGATATGATCCCTGTCCAGATGAAACTTATTATCTAGTAGGGAGATGGCAAGCACCAGGCACAATATACCGATTCAGGAAGATGATAAAACCCCGTAGCTCCCAAATATGACCTCTTAGGCAGAGCGTGAAGTTTTACTCTGTACTTCGTTCATAATTACCTTTAGAGAGTTTTTTGTTTGTTTTGTTTGACCATTCTAAAGAATAAAAATAGGATAAACCACCTTTGTTTCCATTCTTTGAATGTTTATAAATGATGAGAAACATTTAAAAACACTGGCATGTCTCATGTAATACAGATCCCCGTGGGGACAAGTTGGGGTCATCTCCACTTGTAAAGATGCACAGCCGTGGAAACTCTCTGTGAGATCACACGAGTCAACACGGAGTAGACGGCAAATGGTGTTTTGAACAGGTAGGTCTCAGGAGGACAAAGACAAACCTGTGCTTACCACTCAGTCAAGTCAGATTTTCTGTGCACTCTCTCAGGGTACACACGAAAGTTTGCGCAATTACTACCTTTCAGATGGCGCAATCTACTCATAATATCTTGGAGAATGACAGGAACAAGAAGCAGAAGGAAGTAAGAGAGCACTTACTGGTAAGTGGTTGGACTGACGTTGATGCGCCGAGGGTGACTTCCTGATTCGAATTTGCTTGCCAGAGTGACGTTATTCCCAAAGAGACAATAGCGTGGCATTCTCACCCCAACAACTCCTGCCAGCACGGAACCCGAGTGAATGCCTATCCTCATCTAAAACAGAGTGAAAAGGGGAAAGGGTGCATTAGCTTTTCATTTGGTATTTTCATGAGAGTGTAAACATTGCATTGTGCATTTCTCTAAGGCAGGTGTGGAGTCTCGGTTGGTTTTTGGTAAGCCCAAATATCGGGCCATTATAGTTGTCAGTGAACATAAATGAAGTAGAGGACATGAATGCAAGGATTAATTATAGAGGAAAAAAATTCTATGCTCAATTTGCAATGTAAATTTGTTTATATTAAAAGTAAAGTTGGGTTTCATTTGTACATTATAATATGCTCTGATACATGAAAATATATTAGGCCCCTCTAGTTATTCTTACATAAGCGATATTCTCCTTCATAACATTAAACACAATTATAAATTTTGTGTGTGCGCTTCTGCTTGTTTTATTTAACTACTGGTTTTTCCCACGAGAGAAGGGCCTGCATCTATTTCCTTAAGGCTGGATTTGCAGCACTTATGCCTGCAGCACAGGAGGCCTTGACTAGTACGTGAGGGATGTTAAATAAATTGCCTGAGTTCCCTAACACAATATTAAAATGGAGGTACAGAACTTCATCCTTGAGTTAGTCTCTGAAAGGTAAATTAAGTGCTGTATATCTACTCTCTGAGAACCTAACGAAGTTTAATCCGGTTCATGACTTGAAGGAGCCCTGAATGCGCAGTTGATATACACGGAAATGTGAACACAGGAATGAAGGTACTGTGGGTATAGAACATATTAATACATTCTATAACCACACAAACAAATAAAGGGGGTTCTAGTGACCCAGTAATTTAAGTACTCGGCCCCTAACCAAAAGATTGTAAGTTTGAACCCACTACAAGTTGTTTGAACCCACTACAAGAGAATTCTCCTTCCTCCATGCCCTCACCCACATACCAGTGGACAAAGGCACGCTTGGCGTACATCAGGTCAAACTTGTGGTGCAGGCGAGCCCAGGCCTCAGCAACGGCTGTGGTGTTGCTCAGCCTGCACACAGCTCCCTGCACCTTGGCCAGGTCTCCGCCAGGGACCACAGTGGGAGGCTGGTAATTAATGCCAACCTTGAAGCCAGTGGGCCACCAATCCACAAACTGATGCTGCGTTTGGTCTTGATGGTGGCAATGGCAGCATTGACATCTTTGGAAACCACGTCACCATGGTACGACAGGCAGCAGGCCATGTATCTACCATGGTGGGGGTCACATTTCACCATCTGGTTAGCTGGCTCAAAACAAGCATTGGTGGTCTCTGCTACACAAAGTTGTTCATGGTAAGCTTTCTCAGCAGAGATGACAGGGGCGTATGTGACCAGAGGGAAGTGGATGCGGGTGTTGGGCACCAGGTTGGTCTGGAATTCTGTCAGATCTACATTCAGGACACCATCAAATCTGAGGGAAGCAGTGATGGAGGACACGATCTGGCTTTTGGAAATACAAACCATTTCTATAAAGGCTAGAGCGTAGGAAATGGGCTAGGGCAGTTCCATTCTATCACACAGGAGCATTAGGAGTGGGAATAAACTCGATGGCAGCAACAAAAACAAAACAAAACAAACGGGGAGTGGGGAGGATGCTGGTAGAGATGCTCGCTTTGGTCCTAGAAAGATGGAAAAGGTCCAGTCCCTAGCGGACCACCAGGAAGTCTTCACTAGCCTGCTTAAAAACGGCATTCTAAGACCATTCCTTGCCAGAGGGTGAAAGGCACATCAGCTTATATCACCTCCTAAGTTTCAAACTGAGATGTTCCAGCTGTAGTTCTGAACCCTCTTTTCATTTGCTTTTAAAATGCTGATCCAAATATTTGTTTGGGAACTCAATCTGCCTGGACAAGCCAAGATAAATTTATGAGAGGAGAAACAATTTGGAGTGTTTACACTACCAGGCATAACGCTAGTAGAAATATATCGTAAAGAGTGGATATCAAAATATCGGTGTATAGATAAATAGAGTAATGGCACAGAACAGATGGCTCACAAAACCTCCATGGATTTAAGTACTTAATAATGACCCGGTCAGCATGGAAGACTGAGGAGAAGAAGATGCTTTTTCATAGCATGCTCTGGATCAACTTTGTCTTCTTATGAGAAAAAAATTCCAAGTGAATTAAAGATATTTCTGTATAAGACAAAAGTCAAAAGTACTGTACTAATTAAGGTAAAGTCGATCTGCAGCGCCTGTAAGACCCTCAAATGATTTGTCCCTCCGGAGCATTTCCCAGTTAGATGGTTCTAGGTAAGTCAGGCAGCTCTGTTCACCTTAGTGACTGAAGACACAGGCCCTTGGCATTGTGTTCCACCTTCCACCCTGGACGGAAGTCCCTGTTAGAACAAGTAAAGCTTGACTAGGAGCACCTTCACGTTCCAATTTATGGGATGTGGGAAGACAGGGAGCAGCACAAGGCCAAAGGAAAGGTCATGAAGTTATCAGTTACAGCGATCTCCATGCCTTTATGTCGATCTCGATCTAGGTTTCATCTGGTAGCATTTTCTTTCACTTGAGGGACTTCTTTAAGATCATATATGATCTAGATTCACTGGTGACAGACCTTTCTGCTTTTGCCTGTTTGCAAAAGTCTTTATTTCACCTTCATATGTGAACCATAGTTTCACAGGGTACAGACTTCTACACTTCTCTCTCCCTCCCTCCTTTTCTTTCAGTACTTCAGTACTGTACTGATGTTGTCCCACCTTCTACTTCCTTGAATGTCTTCGGAGGAGATGAGACATCTGCTGCCCTGCTTTATTCCTTTGGGGATAAGGAATCTTTTGAGCAATGTGGATATGATGTTTGGTGGCATTTCTTCATGCTTCTTGTGCTCGAGGCATCTCAGATCTGCTGTAGCTGGTAGGTGCCATCGAGTCTATGCAGACTCGGGGATGGATGGACAACAGAAAAAAACACTGCCCGTTCCTGTGCCATCCACCGCATTGTTCCTCTGTTTGAACCCATTGTTGAAGCAACTGTGCTCATCCATCTTGTTGAGGGTTTGTTTTCATTCAGTTTAAAAAGATGTTGCTGGTAGTGTTTCCCTGTTTTTTTTTTCCTGCCCTGCCTACTCAGTGCCCATGAGCTCTGTGGTTTCCTAGCCAGCCTCTCAGGAAAAGACATTGTGCCCCAACCCTATGTGAGCACCACGAACTTTCCCCTTTACACCTTCTGCATGACTGTGTTTTCCCCTCTTGGATTTGGGTAGGGCTCTCGCATAAGTGTGCTAGTTACAGTTAGCACACGTATGCTTTGCTTTATTGTGCTTTGACTTACCGTGCTTCACAGATGATGTGTTTTCTACAAATGGAAGGTTTGAGGCAACCTTGTGTGTGTGCAGCACCTATCACCGCTGTTTTCCCACTGCCTGTGCTCTGTGTGTTTCTGTGCCACATTTTGGTCATTCTCACAATGTTTCCAATTCTCACAACTTTGCACAGTGCTGTTGCACATGTGACAGTGTAAATGCAACTTGGATGTGCCCTGGGAAACAACAGTGTGCCATTTGTTTTCTTGTGATACTCACTTTATAGCGGTGGTCTAGAACCAAACCTGAAATGCCTCCACCTTATGCCTATCTTAAGGTCCAGCCACCTTGGTCTCCCCTGACTTATGGCTCCAATCCTCCTCTCATCTTTAAGAATTTATTATTTTTGCTGGGTTTCCACTCTACCCTCTGCTCAGCAGGCTGGACAGTCTCTCAAGGCAGTACGCTCAGGCGATCCTAGGGTGCATGACATCTGTTCCCTGTCTCTCAAAGATGGCTGTCTTCCATTGCCTGATGCTCAGTGTCATGGAAACTGTTCATTTATATATTTTGTCTATATTTTTAGCAGTTTTGGGTGGGAGTGTAAATCCAGTTCTTCTTACTTTAGCATGACTGAAACCACAAGTGAGATCTATTTTTCTTAAGGAAAGAAAACTATCAAAAATGTTTAGGCTATTTGGGATGAGAAACCAGAAACATGGGGAAGTCAAGCCCAAAGCCATTGAGTCAAGTCTGACTCCTAATGACCCTACAGGACAGGGTCGAACTGCCTCTGTGAGTTTCTGAGACCAATGCTTTAAGGGAGTAGAAAGCCTCATCTTTCTCCCATGGGCAGAAAGATGACTTGGCAGTTAGCAGCTCAAGGTATGACCCACTATGCTACCAGGGTGGGGGAGTGGTGAAAGCTGATGGCATTCCTTGGTGATGGAAAGCATCCTTCTTTACAATAGCAAAGCGTTCTGCAATAGGATAGCTCTTTGGTTTCTGTTTCCTTTCTGACCGTCTGCTTTGGCCTAAAGAACATCCCGATCTTAGGTGTCAGATTGCCAGAGTGGGTTTGTGATCCATCTTAGGGATCTTTTAAAGAAGAGGAGCACAGAGAAAGTCCCTAACACATTTAACCGAATTCTTAGTTTGTGCTAGCTCTCTATGTGAACGGGGGAGGGGGGTGGGGGGCTCCACATCCCACACCGTCCTATACCCTCTTTCTTTTTTTTTAGATCATTTTT